GGGGAGGGGGCAGTGGGGGGCGGAGGGGGGGCAGGGGGGGATGTCTGGTGTGAATGCAAGTATCGAGTGCATTCATATGGAAGAGTCCGGGAGTCCCTCTCAATCACGGGTGGCCTTTCACTCCGACCAAAACTGGATTGTGCAGACGTCAACCCTCATAGGAGGGAGGAAAAGGAAAGGAAATTGCATTCCACTTTCTCTTCTTCTCCTCTGGGAGATCCTTTTCCTTCGATCTCGTCGGTGCCCCTTCGTCTGTCTACCTCTCGTCTAAACAGTTTCGGTCTCGGGATTTTCTATTCTCCGATTCGAATGGCATCTGCTTGCACACAGAATTTTTTTTTTCTTCACGATTTCATATTTCGTTGTCACGGATAGTTCGTTTATTCCCGCATATTCTAAGCGTCCGACAGTCCCTCTGACTTGCAAATTCGTAGAAAGAGGCGAAATAGAGAGGCGGACTGTTCTTCCCCTTTGAATACAGAATAGTCGACAAATTCGTTCGGTGACAGATTGGGACGAAAAGGGACGAAGTGTCCAGCGGGGAGGAAACGATGCGATCAAAATTTTCTCACGCCTTTTCTTTGGTTCTGCGAGTCGGGGTCGAGTAACATTTTCCCTAATTTCTTGCTTTTTTAAATCACGTTTTTTCTAACTGCATTTTTTCACGTTACGCAGCTAACCGACTTTCGAATTGCCTGCCGGCATAATAACGTTCCTTTATTGTTTCTTTGTCAGTTTCAAAGTCATATAAAATCACTTTCGACACCAGGAATTCCAGCGACGAAAGAAGATTCATTCCACCACAGTGAACATGAGGCCCAGCACTGCCTCGAACGGCACTTCGGACGTGCTAGCCACTTCCTGTGCCAAATTTCCACATTGTGCAGCATTCGTTTCTTGGTTCTTCTCTTACGCAGTGGGTCGTTGTTAAGGAGTACCTTGATTTCAGAAGCCTCGATCCTATTTCAGCTGAAAGACTAGCAGAGTTCGAAGCGCATAAAACTAAAAAGGATCAATTAAATTTTTTAAAGATTCATTGAAAAGTTAGTGATTCGCTCTCAAGTCAGAAATTTAGGACGATGACGAATAAAAACCATCTTAATTTTCCCGTTTCGGAAATTTCGTAACAGGCATGAAAAAAAAAATCGTCACCCATCTCTTGACACCATTGCGAATGCCTTAGGTGAATATTACGTATCATACTCTGCATCCATGAAAAAAAAATACAAAGAACCCGCGAATGGAGTCAGGAAATGAAAATACGATAATCAGAGAGGACCCACTCCAGAGCCTTGGCTCGGCTTCGCTCGGTCAAAGCGATCCCATTGTGAGCGTGACGCATTGGGGATTTCCTTCCATGGAACAAACGACTAATGGCTCTCTTCCAGGGGGGAAAACAAAAGGCTGCGACGAACGAGGGGGGAATCGAAGAGGGAAGCGGAAAGAGGGAGGACGGGGAAGAAGACGGAGGACATGCCCTCGAGGAAGGAAAACCCGGAGAAATCGGACCGACGTGCCTACGATAGGATTATGGCTAAGTCGAGTCTCTCGCGCGATTCCCCTAACAAGGAAAAACGGAAAGAGAAGCCGTACCTGGTCGACATGAGGACCTTCATCTCATGCCTAATCCGGTTTCAGGAGACAGTTTCTACCCTTGGAAAAAGGATCCCAAGGGGAAGGCTCTATCGATTCGTGCGTCTCTGGGTGTCCCCTTTGGGGACCGAATGAGCAGTGGCCATCGAGGCACGGTCCTCCATCGTCTTCCATCGTCTTCCATCGTCTTCCATCGTCCTCCATCGTCTTCTGTCTCCCCTCACGAGAGACCGAAGGGAAAGGAAATCGCGTGCACTCCCGAAGCTACAATCAAGAGGGTTTCGCATCGGGCCGATGAGAGGGGGCAACTCCTTTGACCGCGTGCACGTGACTAAAGCAAGGGCGAAATGTATCCAGTTGAAATTAAATTCCATTTTTGAGAAATGTCCTTGCCAATTTTAATGAATCGGTTATAAATTATTCCTCATGTGGAATCTAATCGATTACTGACGATAAGAGGAATCCTTTCCTGATGAAAAACCACCTCTCACCGGACATTTTCGAGCTTTTTCCCCTCCTCGGATCGTTCCTTCCCCCATTCTGCTATGGCAGCAAATCGCATAACATTAGAAAGTCAATGAGAGGAAAGAAAGGAAAATACAAGCTGCAGAAGGCGCAGAGTTTTTTTCCTCGAAGCGATATTGCCTGCGGAATTCATCTATCTCGTCGTGTACAATCGGTCTCAGACTCTGCGGGCGGTGGGATTTAAGTTGTAGGCCCTCGGGGATCCGAACGGCTTTTTCTCAAGTCTGTACGAACGTGTAAATGCCGTTTCGAGTAGATGCCGTTTCGTGTGTGGAATCATGTGAAGAGAATGATCGATGAAAAGGAGTTTACTTCATGGGACCAGGGGACGATGAATTTATCCACGACAAGGACGATAAAGATTCTCTCTTCTATCTTATGAAGAAAAACACTGGAAGAGTCCATCCACGCAACACCGGGGGGACCCGCGGATCACAGACACTTTTATGCGATGAAAAGTCGCTCCGTGCGGATCGAAGGGATTCACCTCTCGACGAACCTCGCGAAGAGGAACGAGAGGGTCCAGATGATCCCCGCGATCGCCGCGTTCCCCCGCCGCGAGATGGACCCGCCTTCCTGCTGCATCGCCGCCGGCATCTCCCCTGAAAATAAATAAATACACGATTTTCCCGGTCGATAAATAAAATGATTTTCCCGCGGCTAATCACGCCCGGATGCGTCGGAATCGAGCCGACTCCCCGATTGAAATCCAATTCCGCGGAATAAGCTCATCGCGATTCTTCACGAACGAATGAACGGAATCCGTCTATGGGGGGCTCAAAGATGGGTCCGAGGGGGAGAGATACGTGCTTAATATCCAATATCCGAGTTATTAGTTGGGCCTCGGTTGCAGGCCGAAGGAGGGGGAATCATAATTATAGGGGTGGCTGTTATCGATCAAGCAAGGGAGAAGGTATTGCGGGCACAACACTTCCTTTTCGGGTATTTCCCATCTTTTCATCCCGCAATAGAACCATTTCCGTTTCTCTGTGATTGCCTTTTCCCCCTTCACGTGACGCCCCTCGCATTTCGATACGGATTCGTGACACATTTTGCTCTATTGTGTGTCACATCGAGTGAATGCGAGGATGTTTGAACGTTCGAGGAACGAAATGGGATTCCGAGTGCGTACGATCCGTTACGATCCATTACGATCCATTACGACCCCTTGCCTCGATCGTTTCGGACCGGCGACATTAGAAACGATAATTTCGCGAGTCATCAATCATGAACGAGGACGGCGGCACCTCAGAAAACCGTTTTCTCGTCGAAAAGCCGGCGTCATTGCACGCGTTGATCCGCGTTAATCCATCCGCGTTAATCCATCCACGCGAGTTTAGAGAGACCCGGTGAATAAAGACGAGAAGCAAGGAGATGAGGAAGGGAGATAGGGTAAAATACAACCGGCGATAAAATCGCGAGAGAACAAAAGAGGCCCGACCCGATAAGCACCGAGTCGAGTCGGGTCGAGTCGGGTCGAGCCGGGTCATGAACATGACGTACGAGGCAATCTCGCTGCGAGCATCTGACCCACGAGAGCGATTTTGGAATATCTGCAGCCTGCGAGCCGACTCCCCCCGAGGGACTCGGAGGCCGACGGGTCGAGCGATAAACAGGGCGAACGTCCTCGAAACATCCTCGGGACATCCTCGGGATATCCTCGGAACATCCTCGGTTACAGAACCGTAGTCTGCGACGAGTCGATGCCTTTACGGTCGTTCCGCGATTTCGTGTGGAAGACGAGACGAAGGCACGATTATTGCCAGGCTGGAATTCCTCGTTTCTCACGAATTCATCCCACGAAAGTGTCAAGAAACGGAACGCATTTCGCCCTATGAAACCGTTGGCAAAGGCCCCTCTCGAATGGGCTCCGATACATGGAAGGGGAATGGACTCTCCCTAAATCCATCCTCCGACATCTAATTTCCCGGCTGATTTCCTTCCTGGCACGAGGCTGAGTCCCGAATCGATCCCCGATCCCGGATCGAAAAGTCCGACGTCGAGTGCGTCCCGGCTGGATCGAATTAAAAGATGACGCCGAGAGAAAACGGAAGATCGAAGGAGCCGGGGAGTCCATTAACCCACTGCATCATCATATGTCGTCTTTCCCCTCCGATAATATACGACCCGACGACATCCCTGCTGGGAATGAGCCATATATCTATCTTCCGGCTTGCCTCTTCCCCGAAGAACAGGCTTATTAACACCCGCCTCTCCTCTATCTATGGGAGGACCACAAAACGCGATCAATCACGGGGGATTCTCGGGGGGAATTGCCTCACTTTGGGATGGCCTCGTATAGGCACGGTGCCAGGCACGTTGCCAGGCATGTCCCCGGTCCGGTTTCCGAGCGTTCGGGCTACGTTCACCTTCACCGATCATCGTTATGAGAAACCCGTTCCGCAACGTGATCGCATCTTCCCGATACCCTCTATTGTTTACGACCGCAATCTATCTTCGAGCTGCCAGCACTCTTTCGGGAAACGAAATGTACAGTCCCGTCGTGCGCGTGTGTGTGCGTGAGCTCTTGTCCGTCCGCGTGTTGCCCGGAACACAATTATGTGGTGAACACGGACAAGATTCGGGCTGAATTCCTCTCTGTGGAATCCGGTTCAGGATATGACTTTTCATTCCTAATTTGAAATTTGTGAGCTGGTCTGTCAGTAAGGGCAGAACTCGGCGACGCGATGAAAGCCAACCCCACCGTCGCCGAATTGTCACACAGGAAGCGGTGGCACCGGTGGCTCACAGTGATGGCCCTGGTGGCTTAAAGTAGAGGCCCTGGTGGCTTAGAGGGACATTCCCGAGTCCTCATGCCTCTACGCGGTGCATTTCATCAGCAAATAGAAACATCTCTTTTCCCATCCCAAGCGTATCACTGGTATATTTCTCGTTCGAAGTTGGATCTATTTTTTTTTACTTCCCGAACTCCAAAATTCCTCCCCCAAGGTAAGGAATTCCTCCAAACACCCGACGCGGTCGGCAACCCCTAGGAATCCTGCCCTCTCCCCCTTATTGCCGGTTCTAATCGAAGGCATTACGCTGACGACCCTTGCAGGGAAATGAGAAGAGGGGGGGGGGATTATCTCGTAATGACACATCCCATTAGTCCTTCTCCCCCGTTCGGAGCAACCTTGATTGAAGGCAAACGGTGGCATTAATTGCGACCCTATATCTTCGTGCTTTTTGAAGCCCCAGGTTTAAAATCCCAGGTGGTTTTAATCGCTGTTTCTGGCTGGAAATTTCCAGTTAGGATTTCCTGGAAATAATTTTTTTTTAATTCAGCAGGTTCCGTGGATGGACCTCCAAATGAAAATAGTCCCCCCAAAAAATCTGAATCCACCTGGGATATTGCCGGCAGGAAACAATCCGGATCTGGCATTACTTTCCAGCTGTTTCCCAGCTGGAATGGGTCTGAATTTACAGCTGTGGTCCGGCCGGATTATTATAATTGCTTCCAACCGAGATTTTAAGCTAAAGGGTTAAATAGTTTTTAAGCTAAAACTATTTAAAAACTATTTAAAAAAACTATGAGACGTGCTTACCTACACGACGTCAGTAAATAATAAATTAAATAAACTATTAATACGAGGGGGGGGGGGGAATATATATATATATATATATATTTTTTTTTCCGAGGTTCCCATTCGTCTGCCTGTCCTGAAGCGTTTTGAAGCATTCGAGATATTCCCGCCTTCAGAGGCGATGTCCCCCCCAGGCCGAATGGAGTTGAAAAGAAGACATGACACAGTCGGCTCTAATGAGTTAAACGGTTCGGAGAATTTTACATGCAGGAACAGGTTTCAGTATAAGTAATAACCGCGAGAAAACAGTAGGAATCTCATCGTTTCTTCGAATTCGCGCGAAGATGCCAGGAATTCTCCCTCGAGATGATTTTTTTTTTTGTTGGGATCGATGCGATTTCCCCCCGGTCGCGATTGCATCTGACGCGGATGGCCCTCGAAGCACGGCCCTCCAAGCACGACTTCATCTGCTGGGGGGAAAACGAAGAGGGCATTTATATGAAGATCTCTTGGCAGCCTCTTTTCCCTCTTTCCTGCAACTGGAGCATCCAGTGTCAGCGGATGGAAATGCGGAGAAGACGCGAAACCCAAGTTTCTCATGGGCCCGGAAACAACTATGAGCCGCCGAGATGAACAAGTTGGCAGGAGTCACTTCGTCCCCCCCATAGAAAAAGGCTTCCCTTTCTCAAGGAGACCATTCATTCATCTCCCTCTCTTCCTTTCTGTGAGGGATCTAAATCCAATCTCTTTTTCTCTTTTCTTTGACAGCTGCTCGTCGGGGAATTTATGACGCCTCTTCCCTTTTTCTCTTCGAGCCTCGACGAACGATCCACGGCTGGTTCGTTTTTCCGCCTCGCTTTTCCCCGCTCTTTTTTTCTGACAGATCTCCCCGTTAATCGCAGCCCTGACGTGACACGAATTAGCCCGATATTCCGGCCCCAGATCTCGAGATACCGCGGGATCACTCGAAACTGTGACAGGAGAAAGCCTGGCGCATTGCCGAAGGACAGGGGACCCCCCCCCTCTTCCCCTCCCTTCCCCCCTCTTCCCCCCTTTCCCCCCCTCTCCCCCATTGATTGGTGATTGGTCGATTGGCGGACGTCACTAAAGTACTTCCATCCGATTCGTGCCTTCCGGACTCCAGCCACGGAAAATGATCTAAATTACTGCGAAAAAATTCGACCGGTCTTCCTTGTAAATTTATTTCTTTTCATCGCAATATTACTGGCTTAAAGATCGGTCCTCTTCGTGCTCCAATAGGAGCCACGGGCCTTTCCGCCTGCGATATTACTGGCGAAAAAAAAAAAACAAATTTCCAAAGAAACTACGAAAGTCAAGTTTTCGGTCCAAACCAGGAAATTTCCTCTAGAATTTTTATTTTTAATTTAATTAATTAATTAATTAATGTTAATTGCATATTCCCCAAATCGGACTGCGAGCCAAGACAAGCACCTGAGAAAGGTCACAGCAAACCATCCGGGAAAGGTCACGTGCTGGTCCGAGGCTCCTCGAGGATGAAAGGGTCTTTCACCCTCTCAAAGGAGACGAAAGTCTTGGGGAAATGAAGTTTCCTCTGCCGCATGACATCGGCACACACGGGAAACTCCGGCTCCAAAGGAAGTCATCAGCGTCTTCGTCGTCGTCCGAGATGAATTATTTCTCCGAGAAGTGGGAGGGGAGTTACCTTGGGTAACTGGGGTAACTGGGGCTTTCGTTGCCGCCGTGAGATATTACCCATCGCGTTTTATGTGATTCTCTGGCGATTTTCGAGTTGATTTTTCTTCTTTAATACAGCTCGTCGAGCTTCCATCATCAATTTCTCTTCTTTTTTTCCTCTAAAAATATTCTTGAAATATATTTTATCGATCGTTCCGAGCGTCTCGGGCCGTGCTTCCATTTTTGTCTCGCATCTGTGCATGCACGCTGATTTCGTCCGACGGAGGGAATAAAAAGAAAAAAAAGACTAGTTTTCGGTTCTCTCCCCTTTTTTATCTCGGAACGAAAAAAAAAAGAGTTCCGGCTCGTTTAACCCCAGCCGTGGGACCCAATCGGATGCCGATAAAACAGGCTCGTCGAGGGGAAAACTTTGCTGTCTCGTCCCCGAGAGATGACGGAGGCCACCCCCGGGATTCGGCTGTGGGCACCGGGCCCTAATGGCCGTGAGTGAGAAATGGCTCATTCGCGGGGAACAATCCAGAGGGGTTCCGGCAATCGGAGGAAGGATGGGAGGAAGGATGGGAGGAAGGAAGGGAGGAAGGAAGGGGTTCTCCCCTCATTTTTCAATCCTTCTCCGCCCTTCGTCCGCGGGTTCCCGAGCTCGTCCCTAAACTCCCTCTTCTTCTTGCTATTAGACCGAAGGATCTAAATCGGAAGAGTCCATCAAATTTTCTGCTCGTGATGCCATCAAAAGGGAGAAGAGGTCCAAAAAGCCAACGCTTCCCCCGCAAAGTGCTCGAGGAAAAATGCAATTTTCAGGCTGTCGCGTCTCTGTGTCCATCTGCTTTCTGGCTATTAATTTTGCAAAATTTTGATGACGAGTACCCCTCGCAATAACATCAAGCCGCAGATTTTCAACGGACATTTAGTTACCGGTTCAGATGAAACCTACGATCGCATTCCCGAGGACCGAGTGGCTCAAGCCTTCTTTTCAGCCTTTTTTTTTAACCTTAAAAGTATCTCACGGTCGTCATATTCTGAAGCCGGTTCGACGGAACGGAAAGAAAATTTTGACCTACGTGGAACTTGAAAGAGTTCCAGAGGGAAGCGAGGATTCCTCAAATTCTACTAGAGTGCGTAAATAAAAGATAAATTAAAACGCAAAAGCTAAGTAACAATAATTAAGAATAACAATAATTAGGTAATAATATATTATTTTTCATCTGCTATCCAGTTCAGTAATCTGGACTGGTCTTACGCTGCAAAGAGAAGGAACGTAAAGAACAAAATTCACTCAGTTTGTGAGTTTTTGGATATTGGATTTTCGAACCTATTAAGGAACCTAATAAAAAGCAAATGAGCTTCTGCGGTCAAGGCGGTCGTTGTCGCCATTAGTTCGGAAGTCGACGAGTCCGCGCTGACCTGCGGTCTGGATGCATCTGGATGCAGCCGACGTGCCGTAGGGTCACTCGGTCTCACCAAGTCACCCTACGGCACTCCACGGTCCACTCGCACGAAAATCGAGGGAATAATTTGGGGAAGGCGGCACGACGAACTTACGTCAACGTCGAGCGATCATTGAATTTTCAACAGCAAATTTGCCAAAAAGTCGAGTAAAACGTTGATTCCATGTTTTTGAAACACAGTTCAACGCTGAAAAAATGGCCATGTGCGACGTCGGCATCGCCTCCTCATCGAAGATGCGCTCAGATGATAAGGATCTCGTGATCTTCCACCTTTCGTGGCTTGAAAGTACCCCACGAAAGTACTCCAGCGAGTACTACGATCTCGCGATCGATACGACGCGATCCCACGAGAGAATCTGCATCTCGCCCGTCGTTCCTCTCGAACCTCATCAAAAGGCCTTTTCTCCTCCCCGGAAAAGGGGCGAGGAAAAATTAAAAGAAAAGATGACGATTCTCTTTCGACTCTCGACGAGGAAGAGAAATCGTCATCGTCGTCGAAAACTCCAGGAAGCGAAGTGGCAAGTTTTCGCTTCGGACTCCGCGGCCAGAAGCGCGTGGAGCCTCCTTCCGTCGGATTTCCTCTTGGAATTCCAAGGCCTTCTCTCTTCGTTAGCCCTTCTCGGAGTGAATTGAAAGAAAGCCCATTTGAAAGGACTGCTTGGAAACTTTTTCGGGTTGACGATTTGAAAGTTTTGAAAAAACGTGCCAGGAGCATTCATTGGGCATCGTCGATAGCGCGAAGGCAAAAATCAGATTTTTTGTTTATTGCTGATTATTTTTTATATACATATATATTTTATTTTTTTAATTTACTTTTATTTATTATTATTATTTTTATTATTATTTTATTTATTATAAATAATAATTGGGAGGCTTACCGTTGAGAACGTGGACGAGGATGGAGGCCGGCCTGGCATTAAAGGGCTCACAAGTGTAATTCCCCGAGTCTCCCACGGTGGTCCCAGCGATGTAGAGGGAGCTCCTGGGAACATCCTGGATGCGATCCTCCTTCGCCTGGATCTTCACTCGGGGCTCGTAATTCAACACTTTGGACTCCCGGTACCAGATGAAGTACCGGGGCAGTACGGTGGATTTCCGTACCACGCACTCCAGTCTCAAGTCACTTCCCACTCTCACGTGCACTTCCACGCCGCCTTCGATCTCCGCCAACGCCCCTTCGAAGGATAAAAAAATTTGTCGGATTTTAATTTCACGCGAGCGAACGAAAATTCGCGGGTTGGTTGGTTTATATTTTCGTGAATGGGGGAGAGGGTGGAGGTTCTGGTGAAATCGTTTCTATGCACGGTATGCAATGCTTAAATAATAATAATAATAATAATAATAATAATAATAATAATACTGATTTAAAATTTAAATTGACGTTTTCACAGATAATTATCATAAATAATTATCATAAAATAAATGCATGGATGACCGACTTCACTGGGGCAAGCGGCAATTTTGAGCACGGAGAAAAAAAATGCCAAGAAAACTTTCAGCATCGAACGGAACAGACGAGGAACAAGATAATAATAAAAAATAACGGTCGATTTTTAATTCTTTTTCTCCGAGTCACATCCAGGAAATTCGTGCATCGTCACGAGGGTAATGGGAAGGAAATGTTGGTAATTGAATGAGGACGAAATTACGGATGACAGTGAGCTGGAAGAGGAGCGAAGTGGGTGGATGAGTTGGCAGTTGACATTCATAGATCCCCGAGTCCTCCTCTTTAGCCCCTCTGATATGCAGGCCCCACTCCTACGAAAAGAGAAATGAATGAGAGAGAGAGAGGAGAGAGAGAGAGAGATATGCTGAAAGGAAGGGGGAGGAAGAGAAATTGGAGGAATCCGAAATGAAGCTCTCTTTTGCTTCCTTCTGCCTTTATTCTCGGGATAAGTTGTGCGGTATGGCAGGGGTCCAGAGGAGAGGGACCCCAAGGACAAATTATGAATTATGATTCATTCATCGCGGGGATGTCTCGGGGGATCCGTCGTTCTGTCCTCGTTTCGGATGAGGATCCTTTATCGTGAATTCTCCTTGAGAATTCGGGATGAAGTGGGATCGTGGGGGATGCGTATGGCCCCGGGAGATCCCAGTCGGATCAAGTGCTTGAGGGGGGGAACCCCGAGTTGAGAAGTCCTTTGTGTCTTTTTTAAAGGTCGTCTTTCCGAGCCCGGTAGCTATGAAGCAAGGAAGTCGAAAGTCGGAGTTGACCATCGGCGTCAACTATGAAGCAGGTTCTCGAAGAAAAAGCGTGCACGATCGGGAACAGATGGCGGAACTCCCCCCCCGCAGATTCGTGTGTCCCATCCGGACGCCATTTAGAGCAATTTCGCGTGATTTGGCGATTAAGGATGAATAGAAGGCGGAGATGGGCGATGATGGCCGCCTGTAAGCCGCCGATCCCGTACGAAACAGAGAACGAGTACCGGTTCGCGTGCCGGTCTCGGCCCGTCACGGGTGCGAAACCGATGAAAAAAAAAGTCCACCGCCGAAGCTTCATGCTCGTTCTCGTTTCGCCACTCGAGCCGGTCACGGCAGAAACGCTTTCGTCGAGCAGCAGCTTAACGAGATGGGGGAAAGACGAAGCGAGAGGACGACTTCTCTCACTCTTTCGTCGCATCCGACCGAGTTTTAACCCGAGGATTAACGACAAACTGGTACGTGAGTGCAGAAAAGCCGAAAAGAGAATTTTTGAAACATCCGGCTCGGACGGATTCCCTTAGAAGCACGAACAGCCTCGCTCTCACACGCCTCGACTCCCCGAGCCGACTGAGAAACTCGCAAGGATTCTCGGTGCTCCGAACGACTCTGCCCCCCCCCCCCCCCCCCCTCTCCCTTACCCTTTCCTCCCTCAACCCTGAGACTCGGGGACGTAAACAAAACACACCCACGGAAACTTTCCGGTTTCCTTCCCCCCTAGCCCAACACGAGGCATTGACGTCAGGTTGTCGATTCGCTTTTGGCGCCATCCGTTCCCGTTAACCTAATTCAGCGGGAACGACGTCCATGATAAACACAACTTTGAACTCGAGCAGTGTTTTGAACGTCGTTAACTCGATTAATTTGGGGACACCGGGGACTCGTGCATGCTTCGGTGAGAGTCGGCGCCAGAATGCCAAAACACGATTCTCATCTTTGGTTCGTTCGAATAAACTCGCGAATCGGGCATTCGTGATTCCCGATCCCAATCAGAACTCTCTCTAGAAATTCCAGGTTTTCCATTTGAAACTTAAGTTGGTCCCGTTCTCATGGCACGGTGCACTTTAAAATATTCGAAATACTAAAACTTATAACTGAAAAGTGGAAGAATCTCGATGGCGCTTGTCGGTATGCTCACCGTTACTCCTAGAGATATATTTCGACCGTACCACAACGGTAACAGTACTCCCGAGTTCCAAAAACCCCAGTCGCACGACGATGTGGCAAAAACGACAGAACGGCACAGAAAAGGCCCAGAACCGCAAGAGAACGGGGAGAGGGAAACGGGAGGGCAGACAGACGGAAGCGAAGGCGAGAATCATTCCTCCAGATATTAATGAAGAGGGGACTGCTTTTGACACGTATTGATTGCTTCTCATCAGAAAGCAATTTTGGAGAAGCTTTTCCGAAGGAATCAAAGATTCATTAGCAACTCCGGAAGCCCTCGCTTTCGTCTCATTAGACTGCGGACGCTCGGAGCCCCCTCCCGGTTGCCGGGGGCAACATTCCACCTGGGGGTGGGGGGGCGGGGGGGGGGGGGGGGGGGGGGGGGGGGGTGGCAGGGGTGACATTCCTCCTGATCGAAGGAAATAATGGAGAGAAAGGTAACTCGATTCTCGGATCGAGTTACCTTTCGCCATAATCATGCGATGCAATATCGCCCTTTGAGCGTCAGGGTCTGATCCGCCCTAATGGAAGTGATGTCACCACTTTCCTTTATTATTTTAATCTCGCTGACACTCTCACTCTTATTTTCATTTTGAAATTCATCGATTGACATCAAGTAGATCGCTTCGCATCGCAAATTAATCCTTCATCGTTCGCCACGCTCGTTCGGTTGCACCGCATGATTAATATTGATTTGATTCATATTTCAGCCCAGCCATATAATTACTATCTTTTGTGAGTATTAGGTTGCATCTGCATGATATCCACGCCCCATCGCAGTGATTACTTTCTCATCCGATGCCTCCCGCTCGTACCCGTACCCAATTGTGCGAGGAATAATCCAGCACACGTGAGTATGGGGTGTCAGTGGAAGATGGAAGGTGTCATTACGGAGAGAGAACGCGGGAGGAGAGACCCCCATCCATTATCCTAACCGAGACACGCCCGGGTTCGGTGGGTGTGGCTGCATTAGGGACTCGCCTGGGAGTTCTTCATTGGGGGGGGGCTTGAATCTTTGTCCTTGAGAGAGGGTGAGATAAATTTATATTCAGAACCGTTTCCCTCGGGATGAGAAATCTCACCAGTTGGGCTCAGCTGGGGAAATCCTTGTCATCGGTGACCCTGACTGTTTTTACTAGAACCGATATGAGCGATTTATCAAGCCGGGCGTGAAGGTCCTCGGAATGGACCTCGAAATCGGGTCGGTCCATTCAAACTGGGCTCGGGAATCTTTCGTGCGGAGATATTATTCACGATTCGACAAAAGCCATGCGAGGAGGTGGGACTGACCTGGGAGTCCTTGGGGTGGACGGCCTCGAACCGCTTGTCGGAGCTGTAGGTGTTCAAGCCGACCGTCAGGAGGTCGAAGATGCCTCGCTTCATCCAGGAAACCTGCTGCGCTATGGCTTCGTCCTCTTTCGTGGAGGCGACGTGGTCGAGGTTGCATCTCAAGAGGACGTCGCTGCCCTCCTGCGCCTGGATGATGTTCGTCACCTTCCCCGATGCGTTGGCGCTCTCGCGGGAGCCTCGTGCTATCTCCTCCATCAGGTCCGGGATGTCTGCGTTCAGGGAATCTCGTTGCACGTGTTGATCTGTTCGATCGGAACTTCGAGTTTTGCTCAGAGACGGCGATGACGATTCGACGACGGCGAGAAGGAGAATCTTCCTTCTGTGAATTCTCGGCGATTTTTTGCTTTCGATTCGCCGCTGCCGTCGTCGTCACGTCATCGTCGATGCGTCTCAGATATGCCCCGTTCCGAAACGAGGAATTTCCCCTTTCTTTGCCACGAGAAGATAGAAATCTCACTAAGGAAAAACAAATCTCCGTCGATATCGTCGTTCGTGCCTTTCCGCCCTTCTTATGTACATCAAGATCTCAGCAGTCGAGGTTAATGAGCAGAGAGGAAAATTTGATTAAGGGCACCTCGAGAGAGAGAAGGAGGAAACCTCGTTCATTAGGGTCTCGAGATATTGGAAGAAGCAACCGAGCCAACATACTTTTTTTTTCTACCATAGTCCCTCCTTGAGAAAAAAAAAGGAGGGGCAAAATATATCCTCTGGAAAGTGGGAGAAAACAAGATTTCCGCCTAGGTCTCTTTGAGAACACTGAAAAAAAAAACAGCCCGGATGACCGAACCGAGCACACAATTTGGCGGAATCGAATCAAGATCTTGATCCACTTGAGACGTCTCAAATAACAGGATCAACGAACACATTTCGCGGGAAATAGAAAGGAAAGCCCTGAAGACACTGAACATTTCTCATCCGGTCCTAATGGATGGCATCTTGAGCTGGAGGATGGAAGTAATGAGACCCGAAAATGAAGGTCTGGCTCCTTGGCTGTTTCGGGATATCCCTTCGTTATTATTCCCGTAATGCCTCGTTTTTCACGGGGAGACGTTGAGTCATCGGTTGCCGTCGCCAAAATTTTTGGCTACGTCGGATCGACTGCTGCGAATTTAAATCTGAACATTCCGAGTGCGTTAAGACGTTCGTTCTCTTGAGAAAAAAAAAGTCAAGTCAAGGTCAAGGACAGGCAATACAAGGTGTTTCATCAGTCACACACAATTTTCCTGCAACTTATAAGGAAATTGTTGCTAGATTGAGTTAGAGTTGGAGATTTCTTCGAGCAGCAGGAAATTTCTCCAACCAAGGAGTAAAAGGCAGATAACCCGAGCGATCCGATAAAACGCAGCTGCAATTCCCCCAGAGGAAAATCGACACCGACTCTTCCAGCACCGCGATCCACCTCCCTCCCTCGGCCACATTCTCCACGAAGCTGCCCGCCGAGGAGCATCCATCGCGAGAGCTCGGTCGACGTGTCAACCGGCGTCGACCGTGGAGCTCCGCAGGGGATAAATTTCAATTGAGTGCGGAATCTCCTGGGGAATTCGTTTTCGGGCCTGTCACGCTCGTCACGTCCAAATAACATTTGTTAACGTTCCAAGAGCATAATAAAACATCCCACACATATACAGAGTGTTCGCAGTCGAACGCAACATCGGAAATGTTTTGCCGCCTGTTTGCATGGTCGAACCTGCACAGCAAGGCTCACCGGGTTGCATACTTTCAAGGAACATCATCGCTCCAAGCACGGCAATTTTTTTTATCGTCCTCGCCGCGCCTGGATGCTTCTACTCCCGTCACTCACCTCATAAATTATTTCTCCAGAATTTTTTTTTTCTTTATCCCATTCTCGTCCCGCCGAATAATCCCAGTCCCATTCCCGACTTTCCCCGACGGGTGTTTTTTTTTTCCCCCTATGCCCCACGATTCGTAAACTATTGTAAATCCTTTAGGAAAAACCGGCTGACTGAAATGGGCATCTGTTAACAGGAAAGGTGCCAGAACCAGACCAACTGGCGGGAGTGGTACCATGCGGGAGAGAAGAACGGGGAAGAAACGGACGATGTATCCCATTGACCTTTCTCTGCAAGAATCACATCACCATGAATCCCAAACAACGCCATAAGACTCCTCGGATTTAGTGAGTTTTGCAGACCCAATAGGGGTTTTAATCAGACCGGTACTGCGCGTCGTTGCGGTTCACCTCACCATTCGGCACGGAATTGGCCCCATTAAAAGCAGGCTACGTGCATTAGGAAAGCCTATTACGAAAGTACGAAATCCGCCGGAGAACCGCCGTATTAACGTGCTGCACCGTGGCTGTTTCGTTCCTGACGCTCGACTGCAAACACGTGGATCCCATCTCGAGATAACTTGCCAAGATAACTTGCCACTATTGCCTCAGAGCGACAGGTGATAGGACTCAGCTGGCCGTCTTCTCTTTAATTTATGGTGAGTTGCGATAGTGGGTTTCCTTTCTGATATGCAACCAGGCGAGCCTTATTGTCTTAGCCGAAAGCCACAAACAGGCGGAGAAATATTCCCCACGCGTTTAAATACGAACACCCTGCATGTAAGTTATATCCCATTGCTGTCTCTCATCCTCGGTATTTGCTCGAAAAACGAGTTCTCATCACGCATCACAGAATCGAGAGCAAAAGTGGAACGAGACAAGATCGAAACGAACCGGCGAAGGAGGGATCTCGGAGGGATCGAAACGAACCGGTGAAGGAGGGATCTTGGAGGGATCGAGCATTGAGGAAGGCGAGGAAGCCGGTGAAGAAGAGGATCCCGACGAGGAGATACATCCGCTGCAAGGCCGAGACCTTCATTCGGAATCTGGGGAGAAGTCGAGAGAGTTTCTTGCTGCAAAGCCCCCCCGTCGATATGGTCATGGCCTGGTTCCCATTCCCGGCGTCTCGCCTTCCATCCTGCACGTAAAGGACATGAAAAATCCATGAGGCCCTTTCCCTCGAGACGCGTCGGGTTCCATCGGATTCTTCACCGGGGTCTCCCTCGACGCGATGCCGACGCAAAAACGTACAGGGCGAAGAGGTTCTCGCGAGAAACGCTCCAACGTCGCGGCACGTTTCGCCCCACTTTTTCAGAGAGGCAGGGAGACCGTCTGCATTTTCGGCAGAATCCCTCCCGTTATATTTCTTGTCAAACGGCCAAGACCTGGATCATTAGCCGCCTCGCATCGGCCCATGCAGACGGCGAACGCTTCATCCTCTCACTTTCCGCATGTCATCTCCCACCGTCACGAGTGCGTGCTAATATCAAGCGCTAATGAACTCTTCTGAAAGCACCGTAGAAGTCCACGTCATCCACCGAAACCATGTCGGCTGTCAGGTTTCCCAAGTGCTCGAATCGCAGGGACTCGAATGAAGGAGAAAATGAGTTTTCGCGCGTTCAAAAATCCATCACGAGGCTACCTAATGAAAACAATGCAGTAGAACCGTTTTTGTTTTTTTTTTTTTTGCTCATCAACTTTTTCGTGTGGACTTATATTAAACCGTGAATTTTCTTCCTTTAATTTTTGCCCACTCACCACCTGCTTGCCACTTATGGAAGAACACGTCATTCTACACATTATCGAATCCACAGAGAATCATTTTGATATATTATTGTACGCCTCAATCTTGCGTTCGACGCTAAAGTGAATATTATGCATATATGCTCTAAACTGTGTTTTCAATTCTCACCCATTCGGCACTAACAATGTTGTGTCAACGTTGAAAAAAGGTTGATGGCAATGTTGCCCCAATGTTGAGAAAAGGTTGACTTTTCA